GAGCAATCCCTAAACCCTAAACCCTAAACCCTAAACCCTAAACCCTAAACCCTAAACCCTAAACCCTAAACCCTAAACCTCACACAAGGAGGCATCTGGGGCTGCTGCGAAGGCCGCCAGCGGCACCTCGGGGCTGCTTCGGCCTCGGCTTCTAGGCAGGGAAGTCGGGCTCCTCCCAGAGTTTGTAGGGTTTGCGGGGTTCCGGGTGGGTGGAGTTTTTTTTTGGGTCTTTTTTTTTTTTTTTTGTCGATTTCCTTGGTTTTCTCTAGGAAAAACCCTACTTTCCTTACATTTTGGACGGATTTTCTGTCATTTCCCTGAGGTTTTCGTTGGTTTTTCATAGGGAAAAACCTATTTTTTTACATTTTGGACGGATTTCCTGTAATTTCCCTTAGGTTGAAGCACGCTCTGCACGGCTTAAAAAAAGCGGGGGGGTTGGGGGGGGCGCAGCCCCCCCCATTTGCAAACACAATGCACACACGATGTTTTTCAACTAGTTTCTTGGGCTTTGAAGCACGCTTGGTACAGCTTAAAAGAAGCGGGGGGGTTGGGGGGGGCGCAGCCCCCCCCATTTGCAATGCTCACACGATGTTTTTCAACTAGTTTCTTGGGCTTTGGAAGCACGCTTGGTACGGCTTAAAAGAAGCGGGGGGGTTGGGGGGGGGCGCAGCCCCCCCCATTTGCAAACACCCTGCTCACATGATGGGTGTCAACAAGTTTCTTGGGCTTTGAAGCGCGCTCTGCACGGCTTAAAAAAAAAAAAAAGCGGGGGGGTTGGGGGGGGCGCAGCCCCCCCCATTTGCAAACACAATGCTCACACGATGTTTCTCAACTAGTTTCTTGGGCTTTGAAGCACGCTTGGTACGGCTTAAAAGAAGCGGGGGGGGCGGTTGGGGGGGGGCGCAGCCCCCCCCCCATTTGCAAACACCATGCTCACATGACGGGTGTCAACAAGTTTCTTGGGCTTTGAAGCACGCTCTGCACGGCTTGAAAAAAACGAGGTTTTCGTTCGTTTTTCCTAAGGAAACCCTCTTCTGATTACATTTTGGACGGATTTCGTCAAACGTCAAAGCGTACGTTGCTTTTCCTTAGTTTGTCCTAGGGAAAACCCTATTTGGTTCGTTTTCTTGGTTTCTATCATTCCCTCTATATTTTCATCGGATTCATACTTTTTTTTCAACTAGTTTCTCGGGCTTTGAAGCACGCTTGGTACGGCTTAACAGAAGCGGGGGGGGGTTGGGGGGGCGCAGCCCCCCCCCCCATTTGCAAACACCCTGCTCACATGATGGGTGTCAACAAATTTCTTGGGCTTTGAAGCACGCTCTGCACGGCTTAAAAAAAGCGGGGGGGTTGGGGGGGGCGCAGCCCCCCCCCATTTGCAAACACAATGCACACACGATGTTTTTCAACTAGTTTCTTGGGCTTTGAAGCACGCTTGGTACAGCTTAAAAGAAGCGGGGGGGTTGGGGGGGGCGCAGCCCCCCCCATTTGCAATGCTCACACGATGTTTTTCAACTAGTTTCTTGGGTTGGGAAGCACGCTTGGTACGGCTTAAAAGAAGCGGGGGGGGTTGGGGGGGGGCGCAGCCCCCCGCCATTTGCAAACACCCTGCTCACATGATGGGTGTCAACAAGTTTCTTGGGCTTTGAAGCGCGCTCTGCACGGCTTAAAAAAAAAAGCGGGGGGGTTGGGGGGGGCGCAGCCCCCCCCATTTGCAAACACAATGCTCACACGATGCTTTTCAACTAGTTTCTTGGGCTTTGAAGCACGCTTGGTACGGCTTGAAGCACACCCTGCTCACATGATGGGTTTCAAAGTTTCTTGGGCAAAAAAAGCGGGGGGCGGCGCAGCCCCCCCCATTTGCAAACACAATGCTCACACGATGTTTTTCAACTAGTTTCTTGGGCTTTGAAGCACGCTTGGTACGGCTTAAAAGAAGCGGGGGGGGGTTGGGGGGGGTGCAGCCCCCCCCCCATTTGCAAACACCCTGCTCACATGATGGGTGTCAACAAGTTTCTTGGGCTTTGAAGCACGCACGCTCTGCACGGCTTAAAAAAAAACAAAAAAAGCGGGGGGGTTGGGGGGGGCGCAGCCCCCCCCATTTGCAAACACAATGCTCACACGATGTTTTTCAACTAGTTTCTTGGGCTTCGAAGCACGCTTCCTTTCTTCCTTCCTTGCTTCCTTCCTTTCTTCCTTCCTTTCTTCCTTCCTTGTTTCCTTCCTTTCTTCCTTCCCTCCTTTCTTCCTTCCTTCCTTCCTTCCTTCCTTCCTTGTTTTCTTCCTTTCTTCCTTCCCTCCTTTCTTCCTTCCTTCCTTCCTTCCTTCCTTCCTTGTTTTCTTCCTTTCTTTCATCCTTCCTTCCTTCCTTTCTTTCCTTCTTTCCTTCTAAAACGTACCAGAAATAACGCTTTCCTATGAAACCACAGAGAAATTACTGTTTTTCGTACCAAAAACCACGAAAATGCATCAACTCCTTTAAAAGTATGGAGGGAATGGTGGTTTTCTTAGGAAAAACCAAGAAAATCGACCAAAAAAAAATAAAAAGGCCCAAAAAAAAAAAAAAAAAAGACCCAAAAAAATAGGCCCTCCGTTCCGGGTTTAGGGGTTTAGGGTTTAGGGTTTAGGGTTTAGGGTTTAGGGTTTAGGGTTTAGGGTTTAGGGTTTAGGGTTTAGGGTTTAGGGTTTAGGGTTTAGGGTTTAGGGTTTAGGGTTTAAGGGTTTAAGGGTTAGGGTTTCGGGAAATCTTAGACCCAAACACCCCCAAACCCCTGAACCCGAGGCCTACTTTGGCAGGCCTCCTTGTTGCGCAAAGAATAGAGGGGCTCTGAGGTGACGATGCTATTCCGCCAAGGGTCCCGGGCCTTGCCTGACAGGTCGAGGGATTTACGTGGACCCTGGGTAGCGCGCCGGCACACTGCAGGCATCGAGCATGGGCAGGATGCGAGCAGCACACCACCTGCACCAACGGTAAAGAGAAGCTTCACCCTAAGCCCTAGAGCTTCAACCCCCAAACCCTAAACCCTGCCTTGGCCCATGAAGGGTGGGTGTGGCTCGATATTCCGCTGCGCCCCTCCTTGAGAATTCCTGCAACCTGAGCACCCCTAGCACTTGCGGGGCGCAACCCCCAAAAACCCTAAACTCTAAACCCTAAACTCTAAACTCTAGACCCTCCGAAGCCCCTCTGCAGCTACAGACCCCCAGGGCCTCCTGCCCAGAGGGCGCTGCCTTGCTGGTCTCGCGCCCCGACGTCGCACTCCCCACGTGGCGCGTAGACTGATCAACCCTTAAACCCCCAAACCCTAAACCCTAAATCCTTAAACCCTAAACCCTAAACCCTAAATCCTTAAACCCTAAACCCTAAACCCTAAACCCTAAATCCTAAACCCTAAACCTTAAACCTTCAACCCTAAACCCTAAACCCTAAACCCTAAACCCTAAACACTAAACCCTAAACCCTAAACCCTAAACCCTAAACCCTAAAACCCTGAAACCCTAAACCCTAAACCCTAAACCCTGAAACCCTAAACCCTACACCCTAAACCCTAAACCCTACCTTGCGCAGGGCCTCCTGAAGGGAGAGTCGCTGCGTCGGTGGGAGGCTGGGATCTTTGGCCTCCTGTTAGCCACGTCATTTTGGGCTTAGGGTTTAGGGGTTTAGGGTTTAGGGGTTTAGGGTTTAGGGGTTTAGGGTTTAGGGTTTGGGATTTAGGGTTAGGGGTTTAGGGGTTTAGGCTTAGGGTTTAGGGTTTAGCGTTTAGGCTTTAGGATTTAGGGTTTAGGGTTTAGGGGGTTTAGGGGTTTAGGGGTTTAGGGGTTTAGGGGCTTAGGGGCTTAGGGGCTTAGGGGCTTAGGGGCTTAGGGGCTTAGGGGCTTAGGGGCTTAGGGGCTTAGGGGCTTAGGGGGTTATATAGGGGTTTAGGGGTTTAGGGGTTTAGGGGTTTAGGGGTTTTCGGGTTTTCCGGGTTTAGGGTTAAGGGCTTAGGGTTAAGGGTTTGTTAGGGTTATAGGGTGATAGGGTTTTTGGGTTCGAGAGTTGTAGGGATTTAGGGTTGTAGGGTTTTAGGGTTGTAGGGGTTCAGGGATATGGGGTTTTAGGGTTGTAAGGTTTTTACGGTGCCCAGCACCAAGGACCCACAAGGAATTCAACCCTGAACCCTGAACCCTAAACCCCAAGCCATGAACCCTGAAACCCTGAAACCCGGAAACCCTGAAACCCGGAAACCCTGAAACCCTGAAACCCTAAACCCTAAACCCTAAACCCTGAAACCCTGAACTCTAGGTTGGAGGAACTCTCGGGGGCGGTGGTGGCTTCCTTTTGAGGGATGGAGGAGCTTCTGCTGGCTTCAGGGTTTGGGATTTAGGGTTTAGGGTTTAGGGTTTGGGGTTGGGGGGTTTGGGGTTTGGGGTTTGGGGTTTGGGGTTTAGGGTTGAGGGTTGAGGGTTTGGGGTTTGGGGTTTGGGGTTTGGAGTTTAGGGTTTAGGGTTTGGGGTTTCGGGCTTCGAGTTTAGGGTTTAAGCCACAAAGAGCTAAACGCCTCGCCGGCAGCCCAAGCTCCTTGCAGAGCTCCTGATGCCCCTAACTGCAGACCTTGCAAAGCAGCGTCCTGCTAATCTTCGGTGGCATCACCCTAAACCCTAAACCCTAAACCCTAAACCCTAAACCCTCTCTACCCTAAATCCTATACACTCAACCCCGAGCCCTCAGGCTTTTTCTTGCCATGATGGCATCTGATGGCACATTGCGATCGGGTCATGCAGTGATTAAATCTGATTGATGGGACGGCCTGGCTTGAAACTCCAGCTGTGGGCCAACTTGGGGTGCTTCGCATGTTCAGGGTTTGGGGGTTTGGGGTTCAGGGTTGAGGGCTTAGGGTTTAGGGTTTAGGGTTCAGGGTTGAGGGTTTAGGTTCTAGGGGTTAGGGTTTAGGGTGTTTGGGGCATTGCAGGGGGCAAGACGCCCCCTGGTTTCTCAGCATTGGGTTCTCTTGCGGACCCTGTTAGCCCGCGGAGAACACTGCAGAGTGCACGCATGCCTGATGCCCCTTGAGCACCTGTATGCACTTACCGTCCCTGACATTCCAGACTCGGGCTGCGCAGTCTTGCGAGGACGTCAGCACCTGCGCGCAGTCCTCTGAGAAGGCCACGCTGGTGATGAGGCCCTCATGGCCAGCAAGCGTCTGAAGGCACTGACCTCGCAGGACGCTCCATATCTTCGCAACTCCGTCGAAGGAGCCTGTAACCACCAGCGCAGCGTCCGCGGAGAAGGATGCACACCGGATCCTTCAGCATGCTGAAGTATGAAAAACAAGAGAAGGCCCCATTGCCAACTGCAGCCAAAGCAGCAGGGCTCTGGCGAGAAATGAACGAAGACGATAGCTGCTACTGCACTGCTTAGCTCCACACGCAAGGTCATCTGCACATGCCGAAACCGTAGACCCTACACCCGAAACCGAAAGCCCTACACCAGAAAAACACTGAAACACCAAAACGCCCCCAGCCACCCACCCAGGACCCCCCCCCCCCCAAACCCTCCACCGTCAACCCAGGGGGCCCTAATCGCCTCCAACTAGTTGCTTAAGAAGCCCAAAAAACATAAAATGTTGTTCCCTATTTAGGGTAATATAGGGATTGTTATCTTTAATTCTTTTGGGGGTTCTTGAGCAAACAGTAGCCAAGGATCAGGTTCTTGTGGCCCCGAAGTATGTGGATGCGCTCGCCGCGGTGCAAGCTCCAGAGACGGGCAGCACAGTCCAGGAACGCCGCCAGCACAAAGGCGCCGTCCTTGCTAGGATGGCCCCTAGAACCCTCTGAAAAAAGCTTAGGGTTTGGGGTTTGGGGTTTGGGGTTTAGGGTTTAGGGTTGATCCTCTTAAACCCAATAAGGGATCATATAGAAATCTCCCAAAAACATTCCTCCATGTGATCCTCTTAAACCCAATAAGGGATAATGTAAACATCTCCCAAGAGCCTACCTAGCTTGGCGTTTCTGAGGCGTTTTGTCGGCCGCTTTGCGGGATTTCTCCGCAGCCTAAACCCGAGACCCCAAACCCTAAAAATGCAAAGAGGGGACACCTTTTTGTTTGGGGCAGCTTCGAGAAGGGAGGCTAACCGCTAACTCTGGAAAAAGGAACGTACATGGTTGAATAAGGCTACCATTGGGGGGTTGTAGCTTCGGTCGGGCTCATTCAGTTGGGGCTTCGGGTTCGGGATTTCAGTTCGGATTGCAATCGGCCTCGGGATGAAGACCAAAGCAAACAGCTCCATTAGCTCTCCCTGCCTGCTTCAACCCTATACCCTAAACCCTAAACCCCAAAACCCCTGAACCCCTAAACCCTAAACCACACAGTGATTCTGAAGGCGCCCCCCAAGACTCAGGGGAGTATGCCGCACAGTTCACCAAGTGGCCCTCGTCCACAAGGGTTTGTGCACACTCACCTGCTAGGGGCCCTTTCATGGGGTGTTAAATGCGGTCCCTTACCCTCTTCAAAAGGGCCCTGAAGTCTGAGTATGGGGTATAAGGGGTATCTAAGGGGTCCCCCATTTAAGGCCCCAGACAAAGGGACCATGAAACTGCCCGAAGACACCTTCTGCTGAACACCATGATCTCACCAGTCCATCACGGGCAACGGTAACGACGAAGGCTGCATCCGGGGAGAACACGGCGAACTCAAGTGGCATGCCTTTACCTTGGTAGCCCAGGCACCGTCCAGGAACCGTACTATAACAAGGGAAATATAGGGGCTTGAATGATTAGAACAGGGTTTGGGGGGTTTATCATATAGAATAAATATATAAAGGGACAATAATGGACTACCATTACGTAGTAGTTCTTCCGAACCCTATATTAGCCTTGTCGGGTTGGTGACTGTATAAAGGAAAATAGGAACGGCAAAAGGGTTTACGGTTTAGGATTGAGGCCTAAACCCTAAACCCTAAACCCTAAACCCTAAACCCTAAACCCTAAACCCTAAACCCTAAACCCTAAACCCTAAACCCTAAACCCTAAACCCTAAACCACTGGGCTGCCAGGTTGCTCGAAAGGATTCGAAGACACTCCCCGTCCACTGCACTCCAGATCCTCGCATCTCCGTCGAAGGAGCCCGTGACCACCTTTGGTTGGTCATCTTCAAGGCTTCTGAGAGGACATTCCAGTAAGATCCTCTTAAATACAAAAACATAGGCGGAAAATACCAAGACATCCCAACCTATAAACCCTGAACCCGAAACCCTGAACCCGAAACCCGAAACCCTAAACCCTGAACCCTGAATCCTAAACCCTAAACCCCTAAACCCAGCCACTAAAGAGCCGTCCCATGAGAACAACGCAGAGTTGACGACTGCCGTGTGGCCCAGCAAGACCTCTTAGGGCGTAGGGTTTAGGGTTTAGGGTGTAGGGTGTAGGGTTTAGGGTTTAGGGTTTAGGGTTTAGGGTTTAGGGTTTAGGGTTTAGGGTTTAGGGTTTAGGGTTTAGGGGTTAAGGTTTAAGGTTTAGGGCCTTGATGCAGTCGCCATGCGCGACATCCCAAAGCTTGGCCGTGTGATCATCGGAGGCTGTAACCTGACAGAAGGGTTTAGGGCTTAGGGGGCCTAAACCCTAAGACCTAAGCCCTAAGCCCTATAAAACCAAAACCCTCAATGGGGTTTAGGGTCCATTTTGGTGGGGCTGGCTGCTCCAACCCTAAACCCTAAACCCTAAACCCTAAACCCTAAATTCTAAACCCTAAACCCTAAACCCTAAAACCTAAACCCTAAACCCTCAACCAATGGGGGAACCACTGGGCCCAGATACCAAAGTCCGGCTGTCCGGCGAGAAGACAATGGAGTTGAGGTCGCTGGTGTGGCCCCTCAGGATCTGCGTACACTCTCCTGAGCTCTGAAGGAAGGGTTTAGGGTTTAGGGTTTAGGGTTTAGGGTTTAGGGTTCAGGGTTCAGGGTTCAGGGCTCAGGGTTTAGGGTTTAGGGTTTAGGGTTTAGGGTTCAGGGTTCAGGGTTCAGGGTTCAGGGTTCAGGGTTCAGGGTTCAGGGTTCAGGGTTCAGGGGTTCAGGGGTTCCCAAGCCAGAGCCCAGTCTCCACTGGACAGCTTCCAGATTCGAGCTGTCGAGTCGAAGGAAGCTGTCACAACCCAGGTCCCGTCTGGTGAGAATCCTGCACCATTCTCTGTGGGGGGGGGGGGGGGTACAATCAAGTGGTTTCAAACTATAACTAAGTGGGACGGACTCCAGGGGGGGGTGGGCAAAATTAAAAATGAGTCGTTTGTTGTTCCTGGTTGGGTTTGAGTATTCAAAAAATGTACAATGATGTTCAACGATGACCCAGAATCCCACTTTGTGGACGTCACTGACATGGCCTGTGAGTGTTTGCACACATTCCCCGTTGAGCCAATTCCAAACCTTTGCAGTGTAGTCCGAGGAGGACGTCACTACCAAAGAGACGTTCTGCACAATCAGTGTCAGCTCAATCTCACCACCGTCTCCAAGCTCGGACAGATAAACGCCAGAGTCCAAGACCTCGTTGTGGTACAGGAGGGCTTGGCGGTAGATCTGAAGTCCCAGCCGACGCTGCAGATCCCGATAGATTGCTTGCACAGTCAGGGTCGGGTCGGCTCTGAATCGCGCAATTCGCTCTCCGCTCAAGGAGATGATCTGGATCTGGGCATAGGTCATGGAGTCGGTCCCAGGCGGGGAGGGGCAACACACTGGGGGCTTGACTCTCGGGCCCGTTTTTCGCGACCGTGCAGGTACGCAGCTGCCGAGTGAGTGCGCAAAGAACCAAGAGGCTCGCTGCCGATGCAGTTGCACCTAGCCCTAAACCCTAAACCCCAGATCTCGCGAAGCTAAAAACGCCGGTGTCCGGATATCACATGCAAGCCTCAACTCCCTAACTTTGCAAACCCCCCCCCCCCTCCCCCACACCCCCAATATCTGGTGCCTGCACCGGAACCACCTGCGCGACGCCTCCGCATCTCCTGAGGAGGATCCCTGAGCTCCAGAGCCCTGAACTGCGGCTTCGGGCTTGGGATCTAATTTTAGAGTTGAGGGTTTTGGGTTTAGGGTTTAGGGTTTAGGGTTTCGGGCTTGGGGGGGTCTAGGGAGCTACAGGTTTTGGGGTAGCGAGTTGAAGGTTCTTGAAGGGCCTATAAACCCCCCCCCCCCCCCCCCCCCGACTAATGTATAACCCCCCCCCCCCCCGCCCCCCCGAAACTTGAGGATGTAGGGCCAATGTAGGGTTTGGCGGCTTCTAGGCGCTGGGAGCCTCCCTAAACCCTAAACCCTCAACCCTAAACCCTGAACCCTCAACCCTCAGCCCCCCCCGAACCCTCCCCCCCTAGATGCGGGAGCAACCTAGGAATAACTTTTTGGGCTTTAAGGGGAATATAAGGGAACCCCAACCCTAAACAAACCCTAAAACCCTAAAACCCTAAAACCCTAAAACCCTAAAACCCTAAAACCCTAAAACCCTAAAACCCTAAAAACCCTAAAAACCCTAAAACCCTAAAACCCTAAAACCCTAAAAACCCTAAAACCCTAAAACCCTAAAACCCTAAAACCCTAAAACCCTAAAACCCTAAAACCCCAAAACCCTAAAGCCCTAAAACCCTAAACCCTAAACCCTAAAAAAATGAAACTAAGGGCCTACTCCCGGTCCGAGACCCAAGGGCCCGACCCGCCATGCGAAAACCTTTAATGCCTCAAGTGCCCTAAGCGGCAAACTGCCCCAAAATACCCTTAACCCCCCCCCCTAAACCCCCGAAAACTCCTAAACCCTAAACCCTAAACTCCTAAACCCCTAAACCCTAAACCCTAAACCCTAAACCCTAAACCCTAAACCCTTCAAGTCCCAAAATCCCCAAAAAAAACGCCCTCCCTGAAAGGCTTCCCCAACACCTTTGGAGCTCCTCAGCCGTTCCTTCGTCCGTGAACTTTTTTGTGGGACATCGGGGAAGTCTCCGGGGGCATCCGGGCTGGGGTTGTGGCGGGGTTTCGGGTTGAGGGGTTTA